TGGGGGTCTTTTAAAACCCTTTAAGAGTTGCTAAAAACAAAGAGTTGGCGAGAATTAGGCTAATTCGACTCTTTACGAGCTTTAAAACCTGGGATAAACTTCCCCTGAACTTTCCCTTTAATTGCCTAAACCCTTATTGACATTTTTGTCAAATTTTACGATTTTTGGCAAAAAACGGCCCATTAACTAATGTCTTTTTATTGTATAAATAAAATTGGCACAAATTTTTTGGTTTTATTTCCAATAACAGATTTTTTGTTAAAGAAATAATAAAAAATAAAACAAAAAAATTGTTCAAAAAAAATAATAATTTGAAGTGCAGAGGGTAGAATTGGGATAACATCAAAGGGGGGATCATTTCTGATTCCAGGGGGGGGTTAATTTTCTTTTAAAACCCATGAAAATTTTTTTTGATAGTTAAAACATTTCCACATGCCCACATTACATTAACACAAAACCCAGGGGTTTGTTTTTTTTGGGGGATTTAGTTGTGGGATAAAAAGAGAAAGGGCAGGTCTGGTTTTAGTCAGGGCCCCCCCCCTTCCCGACTGTTTAATTTTGAACCATAAAAAAAGCAAACCCCCCAAACAAAAAACCCAAACCCACCTACAAAAACAAACCATCAAAATGACCACCCCCAACCAAAAAAAATAACCCCAAAAAATTCAAAAAAATCAAAAACCCTTTAAAAACCAAACTGAAAACCCCACCTACCACGCCAAACCAAAACCCTGTAAAAAACCCCCCCGTTCCCACTACCATACAGTACAAAACCACCATTTTTCAAAAAATAACCCCCTTCTAACCAAATCCCAGTACCCCCTCCAACATGAAAAAATCACAACCCTTTGCACCCCACCCATCACAACCCTGCCCCCCACCACCATCACAACACGCACACCACCACACAAAACCCTGCCACCACCCCCTCACAACACTGACACCCCCCACCAAAAAATGCACACCACCACAAAAACCGCCACACCACCTCACAACCTGCACACCCCCCATCACAACCCTGCCACCCCCACCATCAAAACCCTGCTCACACCACCATCACAACCCTGCTCACCCCCACCATCACACCCTCACCACCCCCAAACCAACCTGCCACCCCCTCCCATCCAGCCCCCCAAAACAAAACCACCTCACAACCCTCCCACCACCCCATCAAAACCCCGCCACCACCACCTCACAACCTGCTCACCACCTCACAAACTGCCCCACCCACCATCACAACCTGCCACCACCACATCAAAACCCGCCACCACCATCACAACTGCACACCACCCACCCAAAACCCGCACCCCACCACCTTCAAAACCGCAACCACCACTCACAACCTCTCCCCACCACCATAAACCCTGTCACCACCACCCACAACCCTGACACCACCACATCACAACCCCCCAAACCACCATCACAACACTAAACACCACCAAATCAAAACACTGCACACCACCACCTCAAAAAAACCCCTCTCCACCACCACAACAGCCACCCACCAACAAACACTGCACCCCACCACCATACAACCCTCACCAACCACATAACCCCTCCCCCACCATCAAACACGCCCCCACCACATCAAACACTCACACCACCACCATCAAACCCTGCTCACCACCACCATAAATGACACCAAACCACCACCATCACAACCTGCCACCACCTCACAAACACTGCACACCCCCCATCACAAACTGCACACCACACCTCAAAAAAAGCAACCACACATAAAACACTGCACCCCCCCACCATCACAAACTGCACCCCAAACATCACAACACTGCCCCCACCCCCAATCATAACCCTGCCACCCCACCTCAAACACTGCACACCACACACCAACATGAAACCCCACCACCACAAACCTGCCACCCCACCATAAAACACTGAAAACCCACCACATCACAAACAGCACACCACCATCATCACAACATGCACACCCCACCATCAAAAACACTGCACACCACCACCATACAACACTGCCACCTATCATCACAACACTGCACCCACCACCATCACAAACTGCAACCACCATCACACAACACTGCCACCCCCCCATCACAACACTGACCCCTATCCCCACCCTGCCACCCCACCATCACAACCGACAACCCCACCAACATAACCCTCTCACCACCACCAAACAACCCGGCCCCACCACCATCCAACACGCCACCACCACCATCACAACCCTGCCCCTTAACCACCATCCCCAACACCTCACCACCAAAAATAAAAAACCCCTCCACCACCATCAAAACACTGCCACCAACCATAAAAAAACCCTGAAAACCCACCCCACCATCACAACCTGCAACCACCACCATCAAAAGCACACCACCCAAAACAAACCCATTCACACGACCACCACATAAAACCCTGCTCCCACCACCATCACAACCCTTCAAAAACCCCACCCCTTTAAAAACCCTGCTCACCACCACCACACAACCGCCACCCCCATCAAAAACCCTGCCCCCCCCCCACCACCATCACAAAACATGCTAAACCCCCACCATCAAACCCGCTCACCCCCACCATCACAACCCTGCCACCCCCTTTTAAACACCCCCAAACCACCACCCTCACAACCCGCCCACCACCATCAAAACCATGCTCACCACCACCATCACAACCCGCACCCCCCACCCCACCCCCAAAAACATTTAAAAAACACCACCCCCCAACCGCCCACCACCTTTCAAAACACCCCAAAACCCCCCTCACCCCCCCCATCCACCAAACCCCTTCACACCACCACAAAACCCTGCCCCACCCCCCATCAAAAACCCCTGCACACCACCACCATCAAAAACCCTGAAAACCCACCCACCCCAAAAAAACCCTCCCACCCACAAAAACATCCCCACCAAAAAACCCCTGACACCCCACCATCAAAAACCCTGCCACACCAACCCCAATCACAAACCAGTCCCACCACCATCAAAACCCCTTTGCTCCCCAAACACCTTCCCCCACCAAAAAAAGCTCCCCACCACCAAACCAACCCTGCTCACCACCCCCTTCACAACCCTCTCACCACCATCACAAAAACCGCTAAACCACCCCCATCAAAACCCCCTCTCACCACCACCCCCAAAACCCTGCTCACCCCACATACAACCCCTGCACACCACCCCCATCACAACACTGCACACCACCAAAAACACTGCACACCACCACCATCAAACACGCACACCAACCCACCACACAACCCTGCACACCCCACCATCAAAAAACCCTGCTCCCCCACCATCAAAACCCCTGCCCCCAAACCCCCCATCAAAACCCTGCTCACCCCATCAAAACGTCAGCACCACCACCCAAAAACCCTGCCCCCTCCCACCATCCAAAACCGACACCACCACCATCCAAAACGCAAACACCACCACCATCACAACACTGCACCCCACCATCATAAAAAACACTGAAACCCCCACCAACCACGCACACACCACCCCCCTCAAACACCCCACACCCACCATCATCACAACACTGCAAAAACCACCACCATACAACATGCACCCATTTCCACAACCCGCTACCACCCACCATCAAAAAACCCTGCCCCAAACCCACCACATAACCCTGCTCACCACCACCTTCAAAAACCCTGTCACCATCAAAACCTGCTCACCAAAACCCCCTTTCAACAACCCGCTCACCACCCACAACATGCTACCCACCACCTAAACCTTGCCACCACCACAAAACACTGCTCACCACACCATACAACCTTGCTCCCCCACCATCACAACTCTGCTCACCACCTCAAAACCCGCTCACCCCATCACAACACGCTCCCCCATAAAAACCGTCACCCATCACAACCCTGCTCACCCCCATCACAAACGTCACCCCATACAAACCCTGCTCCCACCACCACAAACTGCTCACCACCACCATCACAACCCTGCACACCACCACCATCACAACACTGCACACCACCATCACAACACTGCACACCACCACCATCACAACACTGCACACCACCACCATCACAACCCTGCACACCACCACCATCATAACCCTGCTCACCACCATCACAACCCTGCTCACCACCACCATCACAACCCTGCTCACCACCATCACAACACTGCTCAGCACCACCATCACAACCCTGCACACCACCACCATCACAACACTGCACACCACCACCATCACAACACTGCACACCACCACCATCACAAAAACTGCACACCACCATCACAACACTGCCAACCCCCACCATCAAAAACACTGCACACCACCATCATCACAACACTGCACACCACCACCATCACAACACTGCACACCATCATCATCACAACCCTGCTCACCACCACCATCACAACCCTGCACACCACCACCATCATAACCCTGCTCACCACCACCATCACAACCCTGCTCACCATCACAACACTGCTCACCACCACCATCACAACCCTGCTCACCACCATCACAACACTGCTCACCACCACCATCACAACCTTGCTCACCACCATCACAACACTGCTCACCACCACCATCACAACCTTGCTCACCACCATCAAAAACACTGCACACCACCACCATCACAACCCTGCTCACCATCACAAACCTGCTCACCACCATCATCACAACCCTGCACACCTCCAACACAAGACATCACCACCCCAACACACCACCAACACAAGACACCACCGCCCCAACACACCACAAACACAAGACACCACCGCCCCAAATACACCAACACAAGACACCACCGCCCAACACACCAAAAACACAAGACACCACCGCCCCAACATACCACCAACACAAGACACTACCGCCCCAACATACCACCAACACAAGACACCGCCACCGAACACACCACCAACACAAGACACCACTGCCCCAACACACCACCAACACAAGACACCACCAACCCAACATACCACCAACACAAGACACCACCGCCCCAACACAGCACAACACAACATCACCACCCCAACACCACCAACCAACACAAGACACCACCTCCCCAATACACCACCGCCCCAACATACCACCAACACAAAACACCACCGCCCCAACACACCACAACACAAGGACACCACCGCCCCAACGCACCACCAACACAAATCACCACCAACCCAACATACCACCAACACAAGACACCACCGCCCCAACACACCACCAACCCAAGAGACCACCAACCCAACATACCACCAACACAAGACACCACCGCCCCAACACACCACCAACATAAGACACCACCGCCCCAACATACCACCACCCCAACACACCACCAACACACCACCAACACACCCAGGCTCAGAGCCACGCCACCTGTCTTCAGTCTGCCCACGACCACGGGGCTGCGTACACGTGTAGTTTTACTCTGCATTTTCTTGTATTTCCTTCCCATTCATTGTTGGCGTTTTGACTGAACATTCAGTTGGTAGACTCAGAAAATGAAACCAAAAATGTGCGTTACCTGACACATGTGCACTTAAGATCACCAATAATTTCATCAATGTTACAATATACTGATCCTGTTTTGGATACTATGACTTTTATTATGATGCAATTGGCCTGAAACGCTTGATACATACGAAAAAGAGAACAATTTCTCCATTAACACAATTGTGGAGCTGTGATGACTGGTGGTCAGTGAGAGTCAGTTGGATGCTGTAGTGTGGAACTTGAGTGATCGTCACTCATAGTAACTGTTGAAATACACGCAGTTATTTCTTGTATCCTAATTGGCGCTTTGGTAACTTTAAAATTAGATTTATAAGATGACCTGTTACCCAGAGTTATGTGACGTTGGGTAGTGTTGGTTGAGTGATAGTGGCTGACAGTGTTTGGTAATGTTGGTTGACTTGATAATGTTGGGTGAGTGGTAGTGTTGGTTGATATTGTTGGATGAATAGCACAGTTGGGTAAGTTTGATAGTGTTGGATGAGTGGTAGTGTTGGTTGAGTCTGGTAGTGTTATTTGAGTCTGGTAGTGTTGGTTGAGTCTGGTAGTGTTGGTTGAGTCTGGTAGTGTTGGTTGAGTCTGGTAGTGTTGGTTGAGTCTGGTAGTGTTGGTTGAGTCTGGTAGTGTTGGTTGAGTCTGGTAGTGTTGGTTGAGTCTGGTAGTGTTGGTTGAGTCTGGTAGTTTTGGTTGAGTCTGGTAGTGTTGGTTGAGTCTGGTAGTGTTGGTTGAGTCTGGTAGTGTTGGTTGAGTCTGGTAGTGTTGGTTGAGTCTGGTAGTGTTGGTTGAGTCTGGTAGTGTTGGTTGACTGGTAGTATTGGTTGACTGCGGTATTGTTGGATGAGTGCTATTGTTGATTGATTGTTAGTGTTGGATGACGGTGTTTGGTAGTGTTATTTAACAGAGTTGGTAGTGTTAGATGACATGACTGGCATACATTGTTCATCTACCGCCTTCATGAGGCACTGAGACTAATACTTTAGTCTACTTCTAGTGTACCCATGTGAACACTGGTGCTGCTGCACAGTGATAAACCAAATGAACTATGGTAGACAACAGTGACGGAGCAGAGGCAGTGTACAGGGAAAGAACAGTGTTTTTGACAGTTTGACCCTCGCAACTACCTGAATCTACAACTGTCCATTGTTACTATAACACTACTACAACGAAAACTACAACTACTGCTACTACTACTACCATCACCCTGGCATCAGCACTACATCTTGCACTGGTCTCAACGTATTGATTGATCAACCACTGACTCCACCCGCGGTAAGTAACATTAGTAACATGAATGACATATGAAAAAGATAATAAAAAGGTGTACAATCATACCACCTTGAAGGTCCTCTGTTGAATGAATGTTGGTGAATGTTAGTTTTTTAGTCACCCTGGTGGGAGACGGCTGGTGTGGTAAAAGAAAGTCAAATTTACACAAATAACCCGCACGTAGGAGAGAGAAACTTATAACAGCGTTTCGATCCGACTTGGACCATTTACAAGTCCCATTAACTCAAGAGTGAGGGAGCATAGGGGACAGGGACGGGATAAATTCAGATAACTAATGAATCATGGAATGTGCGATGCTGGAAGCCATGGCAGGTGAGTCTTACAGCTCTCACAGGCCATGAGTTAGACCCCCACTCGTGCTGTAATTTGTTTACAATCTTGTTAGGATTTCCCGAGTCATTTACGTGGTGGGAAAGTGTACGCATTAGATTGAGCCCCTGAGGTGGTGGTGGAGTGAGGTTCACTCCCCGGCAGGCAGTACTCAGTAGATGTTGAATCATTTGAGGCCTCAGTTGAGGATGATCCTGACACAGTACACACCAAGGGTAACGAACAGCAGCACGCATCACTCCGGCACCCACACTACCACACGATCACTCTGGCACACACACTACCACACGATCACTCTGGCACCCACACTACCACACGATCACTCTGGCACCCACACTACCACACGATCACTCTGGCACCCACACTACCACACGATCACTCTGGCACACACACTACCACACGATCACTCTGGCACCCACACTACCACACGATCACTCTGGCACCCACACTACCACACGATCACTCTGGTACCCACACTACCACACGATCACTCTGGAACCCACACTACCACACGATCACTCTGGCACCCACACTACCACACGATCACTCTGGCACCCACACTACCACAAGATCACTCTGGCACCCACACTACCACACGATCACTCTGGCACCCACACTACCACACGATCACTCTGGCACCCACACTACCTCACGATCACTCTGGCACTAAAAATAACACACGATCACTCTGGCACCCACACTACCACACGATCACTCTGGCACCCACACTACCACACGATCACTCTGGCACCCACACTACCGCACGATCACTCTGGCACCCACACTACCGCACGATCACTCTGGCACCCACACTACCGCACGATCTCTCCAGCACCCACACTACCGCACGATCACTCCAGCACCCACACAATCACTTCAACACCCACACTACCACACAAGCACTTCAGCACCCACAATACGACATGATCATTCCAGCACCCACACTACCACACGATTACTCCAGCACCCACACTACCACACGATTACTCCAGCACCCACACTACCACATTCACTCCAGCACCCACACTACCACACGATCACTTCAGCACCCACAATACCACATTCACTCCAGCACCCACACTACCACATTCACTCCAGCATCCACACTACCACATTCACTCCAGCACCCACACTACCACACGATCACTTCAGCACCCACACTACCACATGTAATTACTCCAGCCCCCATACTACCACACGATCACTCCAGCACCCACATTACCACATTCACTCCAGCACCCACACTACCACAATCACTCCAGCACCCACACTACCACATGATCACTTCAGCACCCACACTACCACAATCACTGGACAGGCTGCAGACCTGGTCCAGCAATTGGCTCAAGGAGTTCAATACCACCAAGTGCAAAGTCATGAAGATTGGGCAAGGGCAAAGAAGACCGCAGACGGAGTACAGTCTAGGGGGCCAGAGACTACAAACCTCACTCAAGGAAAAAGATCTTGGGGTGAGTATAACACCAGGCACATCTGAAGCGCACATCAACCAAATAACTGCTGCAGCATATGGGCGCCTAGCAAACCTCAGAACAGCATTCCGACATCTTAATAAGGAATCGTTCAGGACCCTGTACACCGTGTACGTTAGGCCCATATTGGAGTATACGGCACCAGTTTGGAACCCACACCTAGCCAAGCACGTAAAGAGACTAGACAAAGTGCAAAGGTTTGCAACAAGACTAGTCCCAGAGCTAAGGGGTATGTCCTACGAGGAGGTTAAGGGAAATCGACCTGACGACACTGAAGGACAGGAGAGATAGGGGGGACATGATAACGACATACAAAATACTGCGAGGAATTGACAAGGTGGACAAAGACAGGATGTTCCAGAGATGGGACACAGCAACAAGGGGACGCAGTTGGAAGTTGAAGACACAGATGAATCACAGGGATGTTAGGAAGTATTTCTTCAGCCACAGAGTAGTCAGGAAGTGGAATAGTTTGGGAAGCGATGTAGTGGAGGCAAGATCCATACATAGCTTTAAGCAGAGGTATGATAAAGCTCACGGTTCAGGGAGAGTGACCTAGTAGCGACCAGTGAAGAGACGGGGCCAGGAGCTTGGACTCGACCCCTGCAACCTCAACTAGGTGAGTACTACCACATTCACTCCAGCACCCACACTACCACATTCACTCCAGCACCCACACTACCACACGATCACTCCAGCACCCACACGATCACTGCAGCACCCACACTACCACATTCACTCCAGCACCTACACTACCACACGATCACTCCAGCACCCACACTACCACATTCACTCCAGCACCCATACTACCACACGATCTCTTCAGCACCCACGTCTCCCTGTGCGAATTTAACTCCACGACTCGACAATCGGTGTGGGCACAGGTTGCGATAGTACCTAAGACGGGCACTGCTTTGGTGGCGGACACTGTCCCACTAAGAGAGCCTTGCATCCTTGAGTAGTGTATGATAGGAAGTATGTAGGAGGTACACTTCCAGCACCTGCGTGAGGTTCTGCCTCCAGGCATGTTCCGAGTTACACTCCCACCCACAATATTCTACAGAAATGTATTTCGGGCAATTTTTTTTATGCTAATGAAATTATATAACAGACCTTAAACAGCACTTCGTGAAAGTCATTCATCGGAAAATTGTTAATTGAATGTTGGGTGTGTGTGCTCACCTATTTGTGGTTGTATGGGTCGATTCACAGCTCCTGACCCCGCCTCTTCGCTGATCACTAGTAAGTCCGCTCTCTCCCTGCTCCAAGAGCTTATCGTATCTCTTCATAAAGCTATGTGTAGATCCTGCCCCCACTTCCTGTGTGTGTGTACACACACAGTGCGCATGTAGTGTTTGTATGTGTGTGTACATAATGCGCACGGAGTGTTGTGTGTACACACACAGTGCGCATGTAGTGTTTGTATGTGTGTGTACATAATGCGCACGGAGTGTTGTGTGTACACACACAGTGCGCATGTAGTGTTTGTATGTGTGTGTACATAATGCGCACGGAGTGTTGTGTGTACACACACAGTGCGCATGTAGTGTTTGTATGTGTGTGTACATAATGCGCACGGAGTGTTGTGTGTACACACACAGTGCGCATGTAGTGTTTGTATGTGTGTGTACATAATGCGCACGGAGTGTTGTGTGTACACACACAGTGCGCATGTAGTGTTTGTATGTGTGTGTACATAATGCGCACGGAGTGTTGTGTGTACACACACAGTGCGCATGTAGTGTTTGTATGTGTGTGTACATAATGCGCACGGAGTGTTGTGTGTACACACACAGTGCGCATGTAGTGTTTGTATGTGTGTGTACATAATGCGCACGGAGTGTTGTGTGTACACACACAGTGCGCATGTAGTGTTTGTATGTGTGTGTACATAATGCGCACGGAGTGTTGTGTGTACACACACAGTGCGCATGTAGTGTTTGTATGTGTGTGTACATAATGCGCACGGAGTGTTGTGTGTACACACACAGTGCGCATGTAGTGTTTGTATGTGTGTGTACATAATGCGCACGGAGTGTTGTGTGTACACACACAGTGCGCATGTAGTGTTTGTATGTGTGTGTACATAATGCGCACGGAGTGTTGTGTGTACACACACAGTGCGCATGTAGTGTTTGTATGTGTGTGTACATAATGCGCACGGAGTGTTGTGTGTACACACACAGTGCGCATGTAGTGTTTGTATGTGTGTGTACATAATGCGCACGGAGTGTTGTGTGTACACACACAGTGCGCATGTAGTGTTTGTATGTGTGTGTACATAATGCGCACGGAGTGTTGTGTGTACACACACAGTGCGCATGTAGTGTTTGTATGTGTGTGTACATAATGCGCACGGAGTGTTGTGTGTACACACACAGTGCGCATGTAGTGTTTGTATGTGTGTGTACATAATGCGCACGGAGTGTTGTGTGTACACACACAGTGCGCATGTAGTGTTTGTATGTGTGTGTACATAATGCGCACGGAGTGTTGTGTGTACACACACAGTGCGCATGTAGTGTTTGTATGTGTGTGTACATAATGCGCACGGAGTGTTGTGTGTACACACACAGTGCGCATGTAGTGTTTGTATGTGTGTGTACATAATGCGCACGGAGTGTTGTGTGTACACACACAGTGCGCATGTAGTGTTTGTATGTGTGTGTACATAATGCGCACGGAGTGTTGTGTGTACACACACAGTGCGCATGTAGTGTTTGTATGTGTGTGTACATAATGCGCACGGAGTGTTGTGTGTACACACACAGTGCGCATGTAGTGTTTGTATGTGTGTGTACATAATGCGCACGGAGTGTTGTGTGTACACACACAGTGCGCATGTAGTGTTTGTATGTGTGTGTACATAATGCGCACGGAGTGTTGTGTGTACACACACAGTGCGCATGTAGTGTTTGTATGTGTGTGTACATAATGCGCACGGAGTGTTGTGTGTACACACACAGTGCGCATGTAGTGTTTGTATGTGTGTGTACATAATGCGCACGGAGTGTTGTGTGTACACACACAGTGCGCATGTAGTGTTTGTATGTGTGTGTACATAATGCGCACGGAGTGTTGTGTGTACACACACAGTGCGCATGTAGTGTTTGTATGTGTGTGTACATAATGCGCACGGAGTGTTGTGTGTACACACACAGTGCGCATGTAGTGTTTGTATGTGTGTGTACATAATGCGCACGGAGTGTTGTGTGTACACACACTCGATACAGGTTTTTGTCCCTTGGGTAAAAAAATGTGAAGCAGATTATGGTTTAACTTTTACATTTGTTTCTCTGCACTAGTGCACAGTTGTCTGTGAGGGTCCAGCTCTAGCTCATGGACCCGTATGTATAACTCTCTTTACATAAATATGATTACCAGTAACAAATAGTCTTCACAAAATTTGTTTGAGAAACCCCCTCACACTGTTTTAATAAACCCTCACACTATATAAACCCTCTCATTAAAACTTCACACTATATAAACCCTCTCATTAAAACTTCACACTATATAAACCCTCTCATTAAAACTTCACACTGTATAAACCCTCTCATTAAAACTTCACACTATATAAACCCTCTCGTTAAAACTTCACACTATATAAACCCTCTCATTAAAACTTCACACTATATAAACCCTCTAATTAAAACTTCACACTATATAAACCCTTTCATTAAAACTTCACACTATATAAACCCTCATTATTTTAAACTCTCAATAAATCTCACACTATATAAACCCTCACACTAATAGGTTATTCTAGGCTAAACCTGCATAATTTACCACCAACCATGTGCTCAACACAACCAGTAGACCCCTGGTTGTCTTCAAGAGGGAGCTGGACAGACATCTAAAGTCAATGCCTGATCAGCCGGGCTGTGGCTCGTACGTTGTTGAATTAGACACATGTGCAACTCTTGGGTATCTTTATTGAGGAAACGTTTCGCCACACAGTGGCTTCATCAGTCCATACAAAGTTTCTCCTTTGTATGGACTGATGAAGCCACTGTGTGGCGAAACGTTTCCTCAATAAAGATACCCAAGAGTTGCACATGTGTCTAATTCAACATGTCGGTTCTCCGAACCATTCATCTACAACTGTGGCTCGTACGTTGGACTACGTGCGGCCAGCAGTAACAGCCTCGTTGATCAGGCGCTGATCCACCAGGAGGCCTGGTCATGGACCGGGTCATGGGGACCAGGTAAACCATGTCCTAAACGAAACATGTTGGGAAGATGTCTTAAATGACATGGATCCAAACCAGTGCCTTGAAAGGATCAACTTCCTGGCAGCCGAAGCATGTTCTAGGCATATTCCCCTAAGAAAGAAGAAGAGCAGGAGTAAACTGGAGAGAGAAAGATGCTCCCTCTACAGAAGACGACGAAGAGTCACTGAGCTCTTCAGGAGTGCTAGAATATCTGATACACGAAAGGAGGAGCTGACCAGGGAAGTGGAAACTATCGAACTTAAGTTAAATGACTCTTACAGGAACCAGGGCAGGCAGGAGGAGCTTAAAGCTATTAGTGAAATTGAAAGAAATTCAAAATATTTTTTTTCATATGCCAAAAACAAGGCAAATACCACATCTAGTATCGGGCCCTTACTCAGGATGGGACTTACACAGATGACAACAAGGAAATGAGTGAAATATTGAAATCCCAGTACGACTCTGTGTTTAGTGAACCACTAATCGGTCTGAGGATCGACGACCCAAATGATTTCTTCATGAATGAGCCTCAAAACTCCATAAATGTATGCCAGATTTCCGACATTACCCTAACTCCGATAGATTTCGAAAAAGCCATTGACAACATGCCTATGCACTCAGCCCTGGGCCCAGACTCGTGGAACTGTTTTCATTAAGAACTGCAAGAAACCCCTCTCGCTTGCCCTAAGTACACTATGGAGGAGGAGCTTGGACATGGGTGAAATTCCACAGTCACTTAAAACAACGGATATAGCCCCACTCCATAAAGGTGGCAGCAAAGCATTTGCTAAGAACTATAGACCAATAGCTCTGACATCCCACATCATAAAAATCTTTGAAAGAGTGCTAAGAAGCAGGATTGCAAATCACCTGGATTCCCAAAATCTGCACAATCCAGGGCAACATTGGTTCAGGGCAGGTCGCTCCTGCTTCTCACAACTACTGGATCACTATGACATGGACTTGGATGCACTGGAAGAAAATCAGAATGCAGATGTAATATACACAGACTTTGCAAAAGCATTTGACAAATGCGATCATGGCGTAATAGCCCATAAAATACGTGCTAAAGGAATAACTGGGAAAGTGGGGAGATGGATCTTCAACTTCCTAACAAATCGAACACAAAGAGTAGTGGTCAACAGAGTTAAATCGGAGGCTGCCATAGTGAAGAGCTCTGTTCCACAAGGCACAGTACTCGCCCCCATCTTATTCCTTATCCTCATATCAGACATAGACAGAGATATACACCACAGCACCGTATCATCCTTTGCGGATGATACTAGGATCTGCATGAGGCTGTCATCTGCTGAGGACGCGGTTAACCTCCAAGAAGATATAAACAAAGTTTTCCAGTGGGCAACGGTAAACAATATGATGTTCAATGAGGACAAATTCCAACTACTCCGTTATGGAAAACTGGAGGAGATAATAACTAGAACAGAGTATACTACTGACTCCAGCCATACAATAGAGCGGAAAAATAATGTAAGGGACCTGGAAGTAGTAATGTCTGAGGATCTCGCTTTCAAGGATCACAACAGTGCCACGATCGCACGTGCAAAGAAAATGATAGGATGGATAATGAGAACCTTCAAAACGAGAGATGCCAAGCCAATGATGATCCTTTTCAAATCACTTGTTCTCTCTAGGCTGGAATACTGCTGTACATTAACATCTCCATTCAAATTATTATTATAATCAAAAAGAAGCGCTAAGCCACAAGGGCTATACAGCGCTGCAGGGTAGGGTAGGAAGCGAGGGTATTGGATGGCAGAAGGGATCTCCATTCAAAGCAGGTGAAATCGCAGATCTAGAGAGTGTGCAGAGATCCTTTACTGCACGTATAAGTTCTGTCAAGCACCTTAACTACTGGGAACGCTTGGAAGCACTTGACTTGTACTCGTTGAAACGCAGGAGGGAGAGATATATCATAATCTACACTTGGAAAATCCTGGAAGGAATGGTCCCGAATCTGCACACAGAAATCACTCCCTACGAAAGTAAAAGACTGGGCAGGCGATGCAAAATGCCCCCAATTAAAAGTAGGGGCGCCATTGGTACACTAAGGGAAAACACCATAAGTGTCCGGGG